TGCGAATTTAGCTGGGGATATTTTCTTGGGGATTTACCTGGGCAATTGGTTATTGGGAACTTATACTACTAGAAATTCGGGAAAAATCGTCCAAAAAAATCGACCAAAGTTGGTCGGTAATGGCCAATAACCGTCCAAAACGCGACCATTAACGTGTGGTTGGTATTTTGAAGGTTGAAAGGGCACCGACGAAAGTTGGTTGGAAATTACCGACCAACTTTGGTCGGTCAACTAAATTTAAAAAAAAAAGAATTGCTGAAAAAAAGTTATTTTATTACGCTACTAATATATCGTGAAAATTAAAGTTAGAAGAAATTAAGTCTACAAATATATTATAAAAATAATAAATAAAATAATATTAAGTTATTTTATTTATAAATAAAATACATAGGTAAAATATATTATATATTATATAATATAGAAGGTATTACATAAATATGAAAGTTAATATAATATCAAGGGCACAATAAACTTTTCAAGTAAAAATGTGACTTTTGTGATAACTAGAGCAAAGTAAAATGATTTTTGTGTAACAAAAGAAAGAAAAGTGACTTTTGTGTAATGAACACAAAGTTGAATGATTTTTACGTAACAAAAAAAAAAGTGACTTTTGGGTAACAAACACAAAAGTTCAATGACCATGGATAAAATTATCTCTGCATTATTATATTATTTTATTTATATATATGGGGCAGTTGTTTATAGAACTACACTACAGTATGTTCATAAAAGATATTTTCTCGATAAATGAGTTTGATCAGAGGCGGATTCAAGATTTAAATTTAAAGGGTTTAGTTTTTAGTATGTACTGTCAAAATTATGGATTCAAATCTATTAATTATAGAGATTTTAGTAGGTTTTCAAAAATAGCCAGATTTACAAGTGGTAATTGAAAAATAGCCACAGTTTTAAAAGTAATCGAAATTTAGCCACTTTACATGTAAAGATAAATCTGAACAAAAACACTGTTCAAAATCCGAAATATATTCCAGCATAATATACTAGAGTTCCAGTATAATATAATGGTTCAGCATAATATGCTGGAAGTTCATACACAGGTGCTCCAATCTCCAATATATTATGTTGGAACTTTTCGTGTGTTGGAGTTCCAGCATAATATGCTAGAAGTTCATACACAAGTGCATCATTCTCCAGTATATTATGCTGGAACTTTTCGTGTTGCAGCAAAATAGTGGCTATTTATCAATGACTTTGCAAACACTAACTATTTTTCAATTACTAGTCCGAAAACTCTCTAGCCCATGCTATTTTCACTAAATCCATACTCTGTATCAAAATTAGTTAGGGGTTCAATTAAAACTGCTACATCCGACCCAGAGTATGATACAATTAATTGAAACTTTTCATTAGAAGAATTTTGGAAAAGATTTCATGAACCAACTTTGACCATTTCAAAGACTAAAATCTGTCAAAATAAAGCAACGTTTCTTGAACTTGAGACAATAATACAAATCAGAAAATGTCCGTAAGATTCTGATATATCATTACAGTGTTCTGAATGGTCATATATAAAGGCACTAAACACAAGCATGCAAATGCAATATGCACTAGGAAATAGGTGTTGAAACTGTTAAACGCACCTAACATTTGAGTTTTAAAAGATAGTTTTTTTCTCTTTTTTAAAATGGTATTTAAACTCACCTATCATAACAGGTCTGCCTTTTGTTGATTTTAAAATGTAGTTTTTTGAGTTTTTACTCAAAATAGCCCCTTATCTATAGGATATATCTATTTTTGTCCTTTGAATATACTCTTGAACATTTTTAATTCTGTAAGTTTACACAGTGGAGCACCTTTGGTCCAACTAATAGAATCTAATTAATAACTAAGGATGACTACCACATGCCCCTCACACGCATGTCACTCTTAAAAAAATCAAAACCCAGCAATATAAAGCTAAACCGATTTCCAATTCCTCAATTACCATTTATGAATCCTAGCTCTCTGAAGAAAAGCTTAGATTAAGGGAAAAGGCAAAAAAAAAAAAAAAAAAAAAAAAAAAAAAAACCTTAGGTAAAACATCTATTTCTTCTTCTCCAGCAATGATCAGATGCAATGGTGGTGAAATTCCTAATTATATATAATCCATTTAATATAGGAACAGTCCGTGATACACTCTGTCAGCATGCTTTAAAATTCTTGCACTAGATTCAATTTGAGCACTATGGAAAACTTTTAGTCTCAATTAGGGGCGTTAATTTGACCCATTTAACCCACTCACGGTCGGGCCGGTTATTGACCTGCCCATTTATTAATCAAATTTAATCCATCTTGACCAAGTTCATCTCAACCCATGTAAAGTCAGGCTAATTTTTAACTAAAATTGATCCATGAATAACTTTGCTAAAGTATTTTTAAAATTATTATTTTTGTATATATATATATATATATATATATATATATATATATATATATGATCATAAAAAAAAAAGTCTTATTTGATAACTAAACAATCATAAGAAAACAGCATACATTAATTATAGCTTAATAAGAGTTGGCAGGTCGGGCTATGACCCAAATTTAACCCCATCTTGTTCTAGCTCATCTCAAGTAACTTTTGGGCGGGTTAATCTGATAATTAAACAATTCATAAAAAACAACACACATCATTTATAGCTTGATAAGAATTGGACGAGTTGGGCTATGACCAAATTTTAGTCCATCATTGACATACCTATTTATTAATTCAGTCCATTATGACCGGTCCAAAATCATCTCAACCCTCCCATTTGACATCCTTAGTCTCAATAACACTTTGTAAATAAATTAGAATCCACTTTGACATGTAAAAAAAGGTTAATCGCAATTAGGAATACACATTGTCGGATTGGTTCGATTTTTATTTACTAAATCGAACTAACTATATTGTATTTTTAAATCTATAAACCAAATCAAACCAGCAAAAATCAGTTTTTTTTTGTCTTGGTTTTTCGGTTTACTTTTGTTTGGTTCGCTTTTTCGAGTTTTGTATATGTAAGATCTTCAGAGCATAAAATATATTACTAGTATTCCAAATATTTCTTTTGTCCTTTTAAGGTATAATAATTATAGCTCAGTAATTATTCATTTTCATTGTCACTAAAGAAAAGTTTTCAAATTTCTATAATGAGTGAGGTAAAAGAATGGAATGAGTCATATAGGGAAGGAGGATCAAGGAAAGGAGCAGTTATCCAATTGCATTGTTTTGTTAGATTAATTTTGATTTAGTTTTGGATTGGGCTCAACTTAACGCCTATATGGGCCAGAACCCAAACAAATACTTATAGAGATTTTCATAAAGTACTATCTTTTAGTAGTAATTAGCCATTTATAGATACCATTTACTATATTACGGATTATAGATACCTTTTATGTGGTTATAAGATGTATTTGATTGATTTAAGCTATTGTATTCATGAATACAGTAGCAAAAATAGGTGTGAATCAGGGAAGTCTAGCTAATCAGTTGTTGTATTCGACTGTATTCATGGAGTGAAACATGGGATTACAGCTGGACAGATTATTGTATTCGACTGTATTCACGGCGTGAAACATGGGATTACACTATTTTTAAAACGGAAAGTGAATCAATTAACACAATAGACTCCTAATATAACTCAACAAACTCAATTATAGCACACAAATTTTGTATTTTCAGTTATAAAAAAGATTCTCAACCGAAAAAATAACCAAAAACATAGCAATCTTCAGAGAAATTATATAATACATCTTAATACATAAATTATATTAATTAAAAAAAACATATGAATACATTCATGGCATATAGCGAGACAGTGAATACAATGAAATACATAGAATACAGCGGGATACATTAAAATACAATGAAAAAAACCAGTGAATACAGTGAAATACATGGAATACAACGAGATACATTCAATTCAATGAAAAAAAAGACAATGAATACAATGAAATACATGAAAATACATTGTAATATATTAACAGAAAATAAGTTGCTCGGCCCCAAACTCCGACGTCTTTGTTCTAGATAATGTATTATTGTACTGCTTGTTCACAGCTTGATATAGCTCCAAAGCAGGAGGAGTTTCGGATCCAAAGCAAGCACATTACCACCATATTGACAATTATCTCTCGAAATCTATATCAATTGAGACCACCATAGTCCAATGGTATTAGCAGAAATTTTCTGCACAACAAGTGTAAGTTCGACTCCAATTACCACCGAAACATAACAAGTTTCGGTGAGTTTCGGTAAGTCAAAGCAAGCACGAAGCTGTTCTAGGTCGTCGCCGGTGACGCTCTTCGATCGGCGACGGTCGGCGAGCTTCGTGCAGGAGTGATAATGGCGGAGACCTAGCGAATTTGGGTGGTAGAAGAGGTATGAATCGTGGGTTTGTGGGAGAAGAGAGTAAAGTGTATGCAAAAAGAGAGAGAGAACGTGGTTAGTAAGATTTACGGTGATTATGTGAGAGAAAAGACTAAAAAGGAGAGAGAAAAATATTATTTAGCATATATGGTGCCTTAAATGTAGGATGTAACTATAATTAGATATTTTGCTATAAAGGATAAAGGGTATCTATGAGATGTAATATTTTAAAATGGTATTTATTTAAAATAAATAGGGTACTAAGCTTTTCTATAGGGTGTAAAATTTCCATACTTATATGGACTATAAGATGGGCTTTTACATCGTAGAGCACTTTTGTGAGACCTTACTTTTTCTATACTATAGAAGGAAAATTTTTATTTTGTCCTAACGCAACTGACCTAGTTGTGTGAGACCTCTTTTTTGTCTCACAACCTTGTGGTCCCAAAAATTTGTAGACCCAAATGTGTAAGAAATGGGTCCAAAAATCTGTGAGATAAAAAGAGGCCTCACACAACTAATATCAGTTGTGTGAGGCACTCCTATAGAAGAGAAAGAGTATGGACATGTGTGTTTCATGTCATTTTGGAAAAGCTCGAGGGTATATTAGTAATTCTGCATCAATTAGTAATTTCCGCCATTCCCATTGCTGATCTTCTCTTTCTAGAGCCTAAATGCTTCTCTATCTCAGTCCGTAACTCGCGCTGAACTGGTTGATAAGCCTAATTAAGAAGAAGAAACTCTCGCCGTAAATCATTGCTGATTTCCTTCGTCTTTGCCTCAATAATAGTAGCAACGAGATTCGAATCTTCTATCCATCTTCAGAAAAGTTTCAATTATTGGGAATTAGCTCAGGTTATCTTCTTCAGTTTGATTCCCAGTTATTTTTCTCTTATTATCAATTTCTCATTTCTGATCTTTGCTCAGCACAGGATTTTGTTGCTAAAAATCCTTGGTATATTATTAAGATTTTGATTAATTTTTGTGGAAGCCCTAAGAATGGTGATGTTATTTTCGTATCTATTTGCACAAGGCTCCAAAAGAGTAGAATTAGTTGGATGGATTTGTGATACCGTCAGCATTGTTGTCTTTGCTGCTCCTTTAAGCACAAGGTATGCTTGAAACCTTCTGTATATTTTGTAAAAAGTTGGATTGGAAAAAGAGAGAAAAATAAGGGAGCAATTTAATTTCTTTTTAATGATGTTTTTATCCAGAAAATTTTTTAAAAGAAAAAGGAAGAGTTGACTTACATTGGGGCTAAGAACACCATAAATGACTCAATATTACCTGTAAAATAAAAGAAACAATAAGAAGTAAAGGTTAGCTAGAGATTAATAAGTTCAAAATCGTAGTGACTAAGTTAATTAAGGTGCATTTACGTACCAAAGAGGCAAAAAATAAAAGCTATTTTTTGAACACTTAACAGTGATACTATTATTTTGTGAAGCTCTTAAGGTGAATTATACTTAGGTGGAGGATATACTAAAGGGATTTGAAGAAATATTGTGCATATGTGATGCTATTTATAGTGGAAAAATAACAGCACAAAAAAATCAAAGAACAAAAATGTAACGATCCGACCGGTCGTTTTGAGCTTTTTCACTTTGCTTGCCGGTTCTCGGGCATGACTTGCCCCATGTAGTGTATTGTGACTTATGTAATTGTTGCTTTTGGTTTCAGGTCAATCAAAATGAATTTGGAACAACAGTTCTCAGTTTAAAGCTTAAAATTTGAAAGGTTTGACCAAGATTTGACTAGTTTGAATATGATCTCGGATCGGAATTTTTATGATTAGGTTAGCTCCGTTAGGTGATTTGGGACTTAGGAGCGTGATCGGAATGCATTTTTGGGAGTCCGTGGAAGGTTTAGGCTTGAATTGGCGAAATTGAGAATTCGGCGATTTCCGGTTGGTAGGCGAGATTTTGATATAAGGGTCGGAATGGAATTCCGAGAGTGGCAGTAGCTTCGTTGTATCATTTGGGATGTGTGTGCAAAATTTCAGATGATTCGGACGTGGTTTGGTTGGGTTTTTGATCAAAAGCGTTATTCGGAAGATTTTAGAAAGTTTGGCTTGAATCCGATGTGTTTTGGATGATTTGACGTTGTTTGAGGTGTTATGATGATTATAACAAGTTTGAATAAGGTATTAGAATACGTTTGTGCTTTTGGTTGAGGTCCCGGGGGCCTCGAGGTGATTTCGAGTGGTTAACGGAGAAGTTGGAATTTTGTTGCAGCAGCTAAAATTTGCTGCTTCTGGTATTTTCGCACCTGCGGATTGGGGACCGCAGGTGCGGCGCCGCACGTGCAGAAGAGGAGCCGCAGAAGCTGATTGTTGAGAATTTGCCAGGAACCGCAGATGCGGTGTGGGACCGCACCTGCGGAGTCGCAGGTGCGGATGGCTTATCGCAAATGCGTTTTTTGGGAACTTAAGTGATTCCGCAGAAGTGGACGTTGAACCGCAAATGCGGTACCGCTGATGCGGTTGAGGGGCCGCAGATGCGGAAAAGCCTGGGCAGAAAATATAAATTGTGTCCTTCGCGAATTTTGAGCTATTTCACAATTTTTATCTCGGCTTTGGAACTTTTTTGGACGATTTGAAAGAGGGATTTCAAGGGAACTTCATTGAGGTACAGATTTTGGACCTAAAACTCATTCCTATGCTATTATTTCATGGATTAGAGCTAGAATTTATGGAAATTAAGGGTGAAATTTGGGGAAAGCTAGGGTTTAGGATTGGTGTAAGAATTTTTGAATTTCGAGGCGTGGGCCCAGGGGTCGGGTGTTGGTAATTTCGGGATTTGTGCTAATTGTCGATTAATTTTGCTTGGGCTTCGTTCCCTTAGCATATTTTGACGTCCTCGTTCTGATTTTGGATAGATTCGACGCGCGTGGAGGCCGATTCGAGGGGCAAAGGTGTCGCGAGCTAGAGAATTAGCTGGTTCGAGGTGAGTAATGATTGTAAATGATGTTCTGAGGGTTTGAAACCCCAGATTGCACATCGTAGTGCTATATTGAGGTGAGGCACACGCTTGTTAACGAGCATGGGGTTGTACACTATTGGGGATTGTGACTTGGTCCGTCCCGGTTGATGATTTTACTGCGTATTTGACTGAAACTTATTTGCTATCATTATGATTTGGGCTGAATGCCATATTTGGGCTTCGTGCCAACTATTTGAACCCCTCAGGGCTTTTTATTGATATTTCCTCACTGTTTTGACTTACTACTTGAACTCAGTCATATTAATTTCCACTATTTTACTACTCAGCCATTTTTACTCAGTTTTGAGACTTAAATGATATTTTAAATGATGTTTGGGCTGAGAAACCCTGTTTTACTATTGCCCGAGGGGCTTGTGAGGATTTTTGACTGAGTAAGGCCGAGGGCCTATGTTGTGAGGAGACACTGATACTGATTTGAGGCCGAGGGCCTGAGATATGTACGCCACGAGGCGGCTTGATTGATATGAGGCCGAGGGCCTAGATTTGATGCCACGAGATGGCTTGTTATTGTGCTTGGGCCGTAAGGGGCCCCTCCAGGAGTCTACACACCCCCAGGGGCTGGTATTGTTCTATGTGATTGCCCGAGGGGCTGATATTGTTCCATGCGATTGCCCGAGGGGCTGGTACTGTTCGGAGATATTTCCCGAGGGGCGGATCTGTTGACATTGTGCCCGAGGGGCGAACCTTATATGCTTATCTTTCTTATTTGCCTGTCATTTACCTGTTTAATTGTATATTTTTGCCCGAGGGGCGGATTTCTGTGCTTATCGGTACTAGTTGTTCTGCATTCATTTGCGTAGCTGTTGAAAAAGTCATTTTCAAAGAAGTTCAAACTGAGCTAAGATGTTTTAAGAGATTTTACAGCTTCACTGCTTTCTTACTGGTTTTGTACTACTTCTATACAGCATGTTGATGCACTTTTCGTGATTTCTTATCACTCAGTCTTTATTTATGATTATTACTCACTGAGTTTGAAGTACTCACTTTACTCCCTGCACCTTGTGTGCAGATTCAGGTATTCCTGAACATGGTAGCGGGTATTGGTTGATCGGAGGCAGAGTCATCGGAGTTTAGCAAGGTAGCTGCCGGCGTTCGCAACACTGCTTTTCTCCCTCTTTCTTCTACTAGTCTGTACTTAGTATATTTCAGACCTTGTCAGTTGTATTTAGACCTTAGTAGATGCTCATGACTAGTGACACTCCGGTTTGGGCTGTGTTTGGGTTGTACTTCCGCATTTAATTGATATTATCCGTTACTTAATATTATTAAATCACGTTTTAGACTGCTTATGTTGTTTAACTGTTTAAAAAGCTAAATTGGGTTTAGTTGGCTGGCCTTGTCTTCACGAGAGACGCCATCACGACCGGGTTCGGGGAATAGGGTCGTGACAAAAAATTTTGCAAATTAATATCGCAGTAGCCATGACGAGGAAAAAAAAGAATTCGTCAAATTAATAAGATATCATGAATGTTAAAGCATTGCATCTTAAATTTCTTATTGCATTGTAGGAAGTATGGAATTAAAACAAGATAGGCCCAAAGCCTTCTTTTCGACATTAAAAAAATGATTGTTTTCTTAATAATGATATCATTGAACAGAAAGAATAAAAGTATATCAATGCAAAAGCAAAGAATTCTATGCAATTTGTAGTAGTTATAGCTGTAATGCTATTGTTTAACGCCACCTTTAACTTCTTATTTGCAGATGAATTAACTAAAAGTTTCTTCTTTTTGCAGTTAAAAGAGTTCCAGCACAATGTAAATCAAATCTATGGACCCGACAAAATCAAAGATGATGTAGTGCCTCATAGAGCCTTGTGTATCAAGGTATTTCCACAATAAATAAAAATGAAGCATTTTTACACATCTTGTTATCCAACTATTCTGAGTCAAGTTTTCTGACCTTAGCATAAATCTGAATAATATTCAAGTCAACATGGGTACTGGAAGGACACTATAATGCTTAAGAGCCATTATGCCAAATGAAGGAAAAATACTTGCAGAGAAATTATATGAAGTGGGCGTAATTTTTTCAATGATTATATTCTAATACACTTGGTTTATCTTTAATTTTTGCCATTGCTCTCCATTGGACTCGGTAATACATTGAAAGATTAGAAGAGCATGTTTAGAGCTTACTTTTTTGAAGGATCTGAGGAAATGTATTTAAAATCGCTTATCACCTGATCGAAAAGTATACTAAAATTGCTTAGTCCAGCAAGAGGTCTCTAAAAGTCTTGGAAGGGGAAGATTACCTTTTTGTTATTCATGGAAAGGAATTTCAAAACAATTCAAAATTTCTATAGCTTCTTATTCTTTGCAGTAGTTGTTGCTTTGTCTAATTGAGACATTGAAACTTGTGAGGACCATGGGTCTTTGGCTAATTTTAACTTGATAAGTTTTATTTTGTTAAGATGCGTAGTTAGTATGACAATCTGCATTTCTATAATGTACAAGGAAAGAAGCTGGCAACTCTTCTCGACATCTCTCCTTGCTGGCAAAGGATATATATGTTGTTGTGTTTTCAAATATATTACCCATTTGACTATTAACTTATGCTGCCCAGAAAAACATTTCATTGGTCATTTGTACTTGGCAATCTCTACTATAGAGACTTTATCATTTTGCTCTGCTGCTTCCAATTTTCCTCTGCAGCTGCTCATGGGATGCACCGTCACGCATTATCCATTTGGTATAGTTCATTTTCTGTGTTGCATCACTATCAATTCTTCTGTCAAGGAAAGAAGGTGGTCCTGAATTGAGCAGTATATGCAATTCCAACCTACAAGATAACACAACCTAATAATAAACAGTATTGAGAAATAATAGAGTTCAGCGGAAGGCAGCTAACAAGATAGCCTTGCATCAAGTAGCAAGTTGAAAAAGAGCACAAGTAGAGTTGGAAGAACCAAATCATGCTCATGTTGTATAAAAACTCTTTTGGATTATGGTCATTTATTTTTATTTCAATAGGAACTACTGTGTCTACTATCATCATCGCAAGTGAAAAATAAAACTAAATTCATGTTGGGCTTATGCTGGCACAGGCCATCACCACCTAGTATATATTAGAAGAGCCAGGGTTTCGACCTGACTGCCTCATGTCTTTTATGAGAAGGTTGAGGGTAGTTTAAATTTTTAGGCATCACTTTAAATACCATTTCAGATATGTGGATTGTTTACACAACCCCTACGTGTAAATTGTGTATCTTTACTGGTCTTCTAAGAGATGAGGTGTTAGCTTTTCCCCTTTTCAGCTTTCTCCCGTTCTTGCTCTCAAGGTGTTTTCTACACAAGCTTCAGATATTTCTCTTTCAATTAATTTTACACATATCTTCTTCTCTGTTTCTTGATCTTTTTTGGACTTCTTTTGAGTTTCTCCATCCTTCTTAATTTAGCTATTCAATGGCTGTGGAATCCCTTCATCTTCAACCTCAAATTTTCTATATTGTATCTTTCTCTTACTTTGTCTCTCCTTTTTTCCTCAAAGTACTTAATAAAGTTTGGAGTTGGTCGCTTCATCTTCATTAATTTTCTTCCACTGTTCCTCCCCCTCCCCCCCCCCCCCCCCCGCCCCTACAAAGATTTTGTTCTCTTTTTCTCCTAATGCTTTTTAATCTTTTTCGATTCTTTTGGGTTCCTTTCCTACTATTTTGGTGCCTTTTCGATGTTTCCATACTTTTTAATTTTACAATTTTATGAGTGTTGTGTGCTAAATTGAAAGGTGTGATATGAGTAAATAACTGTAAAGAAACATATCATGACATTAATTTTATTTGTTTTAGGCTTCTTGCTGAAGATTGAAATTTCGAAAAAATAAGGGCTGTCTTCCAAATGCTTGATCTTTCCCAGCATGTTAGAGATAACCATGAGCAAGTCGGTAGCTATTTAGCCGTGCATGACTTCCACGAGCGCTAAAATGGTATAATTTTTCATCTTTCTCCCCTTTTTTGGTTGGAGTTGTCTAATAGGTTGTCGTTTTATTATGTTTTATCTTCATTATTATTGCAGTTTCTTCATTCGATTGTGATAGTTGTCGATCCGTGTATTTGTATAGTATTTCATAGTGTAGTAAGTACTCCTCTTAGCCTCTTCTACTCCTTAACTTTTCCTTCTCCAGGACGATTCGAGATCTCGAAGACGATCCTCAACTTATCGGTCCATTTTATTTATTTCTGAATCTTAAATTTATTAACATGTATGCACATTACTCTTTAAATATGCTTAGTAATGTTAAACATGTAACTCAAACTTCAAGTTCAGGGAATAGAAAAAGGGCTAATGAAACAATGAATAAAAATGACCAATCTATGGAAAAAATACATGCTGACAAAAAGGCTCGGCGACTACAAATTATATAAATTGATTCAAGCTGATTAAAAAGAGGCTCTCTTAGCGGAAGTATGAAAAATCAAAGTTGAATCAAGCATACGACATCTTTCTGTCAGCACAAATTATTTACTAAATCAGCCAATGCATCTTCAAAGTTATAATATTATTCTCATTCTGAGCAACTTAGGTAGATTTGTGTTATCAAACTAACTGTATCTCCAAAGTTGATTTAGGCTTCGATGAGCAAATTGATACTTGATTAAAAGCTTGTAGAATTTGCTCTGCACTAAGTTGTTTGAGAAATATATGCAGTATAAGTATTCTACGACAACCATTACTTTATTTGCCTGACCGTGTGAGAGAATAATGAGAATAGAAGGAATTAGTTATTATCAAATAGATTTAACGTCACCTGAACATTTAGTTTGAATATCCGAACTTGTGCCTCAAAGCTTGGAACAATGCTTGCTGAGAACTTACCAATTTGGGTTCCTCACAATTATTCCAAATATTTAATTTGGTTATGATTATAATTATTGAGGAAGACAGTATTACTTATTTGGTTGGTCAGCCCAACACACGTGGGCGTGTTTCTTTATCTGGCGAGAGCACAAATAGCTTTTTAAAGAGGTATGCGAGTTGCAAGTAAAATCTCCAACATTTTCTTGAGATTTTCCCAAGTAGGGTCCAAAGTATTGGTCTTATTGCTTATCGATGCCTTCCCCTGTGATTACCAACCTATTTGGCAGCTGAAGAGACCGGTTTGAGCCTTGAAAGTTTCTCCGCTAAAATTAAGTTTTACTTTAGTATTAATTTTCTCTCAGATAAGATGTTGCATATGCATTCTTAATAGCTTGCACATTCACTTTGAACCTCGAAGACACCTTAAGGTAAAAAGTATGCAGTTAGGCCACTTCTTGCTGCTGTTTTCTGAATGTGGTTGAATCCATTTCTGTTGCTGCTTTCTGGATGTTGCTACAACCAATTTCACTAATGTGATGTAAAGTTAGTTCAACTGGTTACAAATACTTTTAACTTCTAAGCTCCACCTGTAGGATTGTTGTCTTAGTGTTTGGTTTTTTGGGGTAATACTTTTTCCCCCGATTTGTTTTTGCCTAATGATTTTTAAAAGCAGATATGGCTACTTAATTTTTGTGCTAAAGTACACAAAAACTACCAGGAAAGAGAACAAGGAAGACACAACATCTTAAACTCTCGTGACAATTTTTATTCAAGTATGACAATTACAAAATAAAGTTTTAGGAAACAGTGAGATGCCTTCTTATATGTGAGGATGTTTAGTTCTGAAACTAGCTCTGTTCAGTATCTATCGTTTGAAACAATGAACAAAAGCTACAGCTTTCTTGACAAGAATACACAAGAAACAACTCTAAAATCACATGCTAAGTTGAATAGGACACTAATGTCACGACCCGGATTTTCCACTCTCGGGAGTCGTGATGGCGCCTACTATTAGGATCTAGGCAAGCCAACTATTTATTATCTCTTTTAGCAAAACCTCGACATTAATAAAAATAACGAAGCATTTAACATAAAAGCGGAAGTCTTAAACATAAATAAACGGAGAAACAATGCGGGAGTTCAATACAACTCTACCCAAGAACTGGAGTCACAGACTCACGAATGTCTAGAGAATGCTAAATACAAAGTCTGAATAAAAACATAGTTCTGTTTGTTTCGGTACAAAGGATAACAAACTAAAGTATAGAAGAGACTCCGGGCCATGCGGACGTCAGCAAAGCTACCTCGGGATCTCTGGACTGAAGTCAGCTCCCAAATGCTCCTACTGCTGTCCAAAAGCTGCTGCTCTGGTACTGTGATCTGTGCAAAAAGATGCACAGAGTGTAGCATCAGCACAACCGACCCCATGTGCTGGTAAGTGCCTAGCCTAACCCCGGCGAAGTAGTGACGAGGCTAGACCAGACTACCAGATAAACCTGTGCAGATATATATATATACAAGTACAACAAAATAATAGCGGAAAGTAAGCAATTAAAGCTGGGAGGGGGAAAACATGCTTATGGGGAAGCAGATAAACGGAATATCAGGAATATCAAGAGAAACTACATCTGATTTCTTCTAACACAGAATAAAGGAAAACAAACCACTTTCACTTATTTCAATTTCCTCTCATTGCAGGCGTGCAACACGATCCCATTTCCTTACAACACGTGGTAGGCATACCACACGTTCCCATTACAATAATATCACTTGGTCGGCGTGCCACACGTTCCCATTTCATAATAACTCGTGGTCGGCGTGCCACACGATCCCATTTCATAATATCTCGTGGTCGGCGTGCCACACGATCCCATTTCATAATATCTCGTGGTCGGCGTGCCACACGATCCCATTTCTTTCAACACTATACATAACATAATCCCGACAAGGGAGAAAGATGTAATATAATAAACTATCCCGACAAGGGAGCAATGTAATATAATAAACTATCCCGGCAAGGGAGCTCCAGCTATAACCAAACTCATTCAATCTCTACTTAACACAATTAAATCCACACTAAGTCTCAACAATTACTGGCTCAGTGTTAAAGATTTCGAACCAATTCCTCATAAATAACAATTACAAATTCGATAATTTAGCAAATTAGGACTCACGGTCATGCTCGACACCAGTGTAAGATACTCGTCACCATGACTATACACCGTACTCGACAAATAGCAATTAACAAATAAGACTCTACTCCTATTCCCTCAAGCCAAAGTTAGACCAAACACTTACCTCAACTTCCACAGCTAAATCAATCCACAACGACTGCCTTCCCTCTCGAATGCGGCTCCAACTCAATCAAATCTATGAAATAACGACTTTCCAACATTAATATAAACTAAACAAATCCCAATGCCTAAATATAGTTTTCTAAGCTTTCTTCCCAAAATTCCAAAAATCGACCCCGGGCCCGCTTGGTCAAAACCCGAGGTTCGAACCAATTTCATATCACTCATTCCCCCACGAGCCCGAATATGCAATTTGTTTTCAAATTCGACCCCAAAACGAGGTCTAAATCGAAGAAAAATTGAAAACCCCTAACTCTACCCATTTCCCCAATTTCAACCCTAGATTACATGATTTAGGCTAAGAAACTTACTAATTAATGAAGGAAAATGATGGAAATGAGTGGGAATTTACTTACCCAAGAGGTCTTGGTGAAAGGAAGCTTCAATGGATTCCTAGAGCTTAGGGGAGAAGAGAGTTCGTGAGAAATTTGGAATAAAACCCGAGCTACTGTTCTTAAACTTTTTAAAAAAATCACTGGGCGTTTTTGTTCTATGCGTTCGCGATAGGAGTGTCGCGTTCGCGAATAGGGGGGAGCTGGCAAGCTACGCGTTCGCGAGGGAAGGACTGCGAACGCGAAGAGGAAGCACTGGGGGTCCAAAGAATTGGCCTACACGAATGTGTCGACCATCACGCGAACACGGAGAAGGAAAAAGCAAAGCATCGCGATCGCGATGGCTTGAACGCGAACGCGAAGAAGGGTGGCCTCAAAGCTATGCGAACGCGAAGAAGGATTCTTCTGTGTAAAAATTATAGAAAATTTGATGCCTTCCTAAGTTCAAAACCATCCCGAACACCTCCGAAAACACTCCCGAGCCCTCGAGGCTCCTAACCAATCACACACCTAACTCGACGACATCCTATAAACTTTACCGTGCGATCAAATCGCCAAAATAACATCATAAACGAGGAATCAAACCTCAAAATCATCACTTTTCCTTCAAACTTCATAAACTTTCATTTTTAGATATTTAGGTCCGAAACACGTCAAATGACGTCCGATTTCAACCAAATTTCACAGAAAGCGCTTAAACCACATATAAGACCTGTACCAGGCGCCGGAACCAAAATACAGGCCCGATACCAACACGTTCTAATCAATTTCCTTTTCAAATTTCCATATTAATTTCAGAAAAACAATTTCACAGAAAAATTCATTTCTCGGGCTCTCGACCTCGGAATTCGACTTCGGGCATATGCCCGAGTCTCATATTTTTCTACGGACCCTCCGGGACCGTCAAATCACGGGTCCGAGTCCGTTTACTCAAAATGTTGACCAAAGTCAACTTTAATCATATTAATATCAACATTTATCAATTTTTTACACAGAATTCATATTTCAGCTTTCCCGCTACGTGCCCGGACTGCGCACGCAAATCGAGGCAAGTAAAAGTGAGGTTTTCAAAGCCTCGAAAGCACAGAATGAAAGAGAAAACAGGTGATGACCCTTTGGGTCGTCACAACTAAATGCAAAACCTTAAGTTAAGACAAACAACTAACTTCATTCAAGATTTGACAATACGAATTACTAAAAGGGCTAATTTAGACTGTTAAAAATTGCACAAAGGTTCACGTAGCAATATTTGGCATGCTCTGCTGTGCATTAATCTCTCAAATTACTAAGCCATTTTGTAGTTGAGACGCTCCAACGTAGAGTTTCGTGGTCATTTTTCCGGTAAGACCGGTTATTCTATATTTCAGTATTGAACTTATTTTTATTATTTACCACTGATGATGTGCATTGGTGCGAATCAATTCTATAGTGATACTTTTAATTTGCTTATTGAATTTGAGAAGAAAAAGTATAATAGCTGTATAGAGCCAGAGAGTCCTATATTTACACCATCTCCTACAATTTCTCCTTCAAATCTTGGTGTTGTCAGTTATTATAGTCACTTTATTTTAATCACCTATCATGGAGTGGGACGTTGTTGAACCATTTTCTATGCATATGGAGGTCTACATAAGAAAATTAAGCAGATTAAGGTTGTATTTTCATTTTGCACCTATACTTATTGTCTAAAACACCTGTTATGATAGCACATTTCTGTTAATTACGAGCTCTTTTTGCATTTGAATGTCTTCTTTTTTCTTCTACTTGACAACTTCACT